GAGAGAGAGAGAGAGGGTTCAATTGAGAAAAAAAGGTTGAGAATGGGGGAACCATTCTCAGCCAATCATTTAAGTAGCTTAAAACTCATAAACACGTGGTGACAAACTTGTAAATAATGCAAAAGATTAAATCGTCGATGACACTTGTGTAATTTTATCCCACATGAAATCTTTTAAGCAAAACCATCATTTCCCTCTTCGAACATATAATCGTTTTCCCATAACACGAAAACCATTTGCAGAACGATTCAATCACCGTTTTCGAACAAAAACCCTAAAATCAGTCTCGCGAAGAACAAATTGAAGAAAATGTCTTCCGACGAAAACCTACATGAAACCGTTTCGTCACTATTGACGATGAAAGGTAATCATCAACGTTTTTTTTCTTTGATTTTTAACGATTTGTCATCATTTCTTAACTCATCAGTTGATTACTTGAAATTTTCGTAATTGTCATTCATTATTAGGTGATTTACAACTAAAAATTTTGTATTCATACTGTTCATTCTTCAAACTAGTTTGTTTACTTAAAATTTTGTAATTCGCCTTCATTTTTGTAATCCTAGTTCATTGTTAGTTGATTTACTTAAAGTTTTTGTAAGAGTAAATTACACGAATGGTCCCTATGGTTTAGGGTAATTTTCACGTTTGGTCCCTAACTTATTTTTTTAACTCGGAAGGTCCCTACTGTTTGTTTTTGTTAAGCGCTTGGTCCCTACTGTTTGTTTTTGTTACGCGCTTGGTCCCTGTCTTACCTAAAAAAACTATTATTTAAATAGAGAAAAAATTATGAGATAGATAAGGTAAGATGAGGGGGTGAGGTTGGGGGTGTGTTTATTTAAATAAATTAAAAAATCAATGGCAAAATAGTCTTTTTATGTAAGACAGGGACCAAACGCGTAACAAAAACAAACAGTAGGGACCTTCTGATTTAAAAAAATAAGTTAGGGACCAAACATGCAAATTACCCTAAACCATAGGGACCATTCGTGTAATTTACTCTTTTTGTAATAATCGTCAATTATTAGTTGATTTAGAAACAATTTTACATTTTCTCTTTATTTTTCATACATATTCACGACTTTTCTGTTAAAATATAAACGTTGCTTCACATTTCGCTTATGTTGTCCTAATCTACCGGGGTTTTACAGACTTTCTACTAATATTAACTACTTATCTTTACAGAAACAATACCAATAGTCAAGCATATATATAAACGAAAAAAAACGAAGGAAATAGGTAAATAAAATTGGTATTCTGTTAAGATGTGATTACCTTTATTCATATGTGATTGACAACATAAGGATGCAAATTTACTTAAAAATACAACAGGAAATGAAGATACTGAAGATGAATTTATTTTGATATGTTTTGTTCACTTTTGAACACAAACAAAACTAAGTTATATATGTTATATCCACATATGAATAGAAAATAATTTTGTGTAATATACATTATTCATATATGAATAGAACAGAAATGAGTTATATATGTTCTATTCACATATAAATATGACATAATTTAGTGTGAATATACCGTAAATATAAGTTTAATATACAACTATTCATTTAGAATATAAAATAGTTTCTTTGTAAATGTATATCAAATTCATTTATCTTCTACCCTACTAGAAAATAGGCATTTAATGACACGCAAATTATGACACACACTGATTTAAGATACGCAAATGTGGGTATCGTAAAAAATGTCATCCCTTATAAAATTTGAAGGATTTAGGACACGTATTTTTTCGTGCCTTAAAATTACCTGTTGTTTTATATGTTTTTTAGGAAAACGCACATCTCATCCTTAGTAGCCAGTGGGGGGAAAAGAAATCCCAAAAATTAGAAAACCTGCCTTGGGTGATTTAGGGTTAGTTTTCACTTCCCTCTCC